AAATTGAACAAAATCCTTCCATTTTTTTCACTACACACCTCCTCAGGAGATTATTCACAGACAGTAGGTCATTGTAGAGTTCTTTTGGTCTTCCAAGAAAAAGGTGACCTTCCTTTTCTTGTTCCTTTTGCTTCCTTCAAAATAAATTCTTAGAAAGAACTAAAACTACTGCTTCTTGGAAAAATGTCTGTACCACCTCTCCACTGTGAAGTAAAAGGTCACAGTGTATGTGAAATCAGTCATATAATGGAATGAATTAAATTTCAGCCTCAAATCTAAAGGTCAAGATTTAATCTTCCTGACACAAGATATATGGAACCATCCGCTGCTTATTCTCCTTGTAAAAAATAGTGTTATTAAGTGGAACGATGAAATCATACACAACTGCACTCAAGCTGTAGTTCTTCCCATTGTCTGTGAAACTTTGGAGTGCTCAGTCTTCCAACACTTTAGCTGCTTCATCTGAAGATGCTGATGATACCAATTATGTCACAGGATTTCTATATTATGTACCACTGTATGTAGAGCATCTGACACATAGCAAGAGTTCAATAAATGGTAGTTATTGATCCCATTTTTTAAAAAAAGTAATCAAAGGATGGAAACAGTGATCAAAAATTGTCCTGCAAATTCTAGCTGGTAAGTCCTGAGGCAGAATCCCTTCAAGCTAATAGCAACAGATTGCTCCTTTCTTTGGAACCTAGTCCTTCTGTTCAGATGTCCCTTGCAGGAGTACCATGCTTGGCTATGCTATACTTAACCCAGTGAAAACATCAAATGATCTTCAAAAGTGGCTATGACTGTGTTATATATAGCCTTTTCCAGAAGGTCCTCAAGTGTTTATTAAGTATCATTTTAAATCCTTAGTGCATTAATCCAAAATATGTCACTGACACTATGCACATCTCTCAAAACTTTTTAACAAGTGGAATTTTGATCCACATTTCTTGAATGTGCCTTCAGTTTTACAAACCAAAGGAACTAATTGGTGAGAGGAGTATTTGAAAACAAACACCAGTAAACAAACCTGGGGAGTCAGTTCTGAGCTCTCCCTTTTAATCACTGTGTTTAAATGATCTTTCAGTTTTCTGTCAGAAAGTCAATAACTATGCACTGAGCATACTAGCAAGCATACTAATTATAAATATATGGACACCAAATCACAGAAAGGTCCCTATTTGTAATTTTTAATTTGGCTAAAATTGGAAGGGCTGGTGTAAACTTTAATTTATGCAGGAAGCTTTTCTGAAAACATTTGCATCATCTCAAAATTGCTTTAAAAAAACTCTAACAATTCAAGGAATCTAGAGTCTAGGAATAGGAGACATCAGTAAAAATGGCCCATGCATTGTGGAGGGCTCATGAAATTAGTTATGTTTGTAAGCAATTTATTTTTCTGAATCTTTAAAGGATCCCCACACCTACCTTAAACTGACAGTTATACACAAACAGTAATCATGGAACTCAGAAATTATCCATTATTGTAAAATAACTTAGAAGTATCCCATTAAACAATAACATCATCAGCTAAAGAGGACAACATTAATTCCATTATATTACTTAAAATAGGTTCCCCTGCTAGAAAGACCCTTTAGCAATGTTGTTTAGCTTTCCAAACTATGAACTCATTGCTAACAATTCAATAGAATGTTAGGCTTTATTGAGTCCTTGCCATATGTCAGACACTATAAAAAATGCATCATTTTATTACATTCTCACAAAATCCCTCTTAGGTAAACTAGTATACCTATTTTAAATGAGCAACTAAAGGCAAGGGGGTGGTTAAATTCACTTTCAAAAGGTGCACACATAGTGAATATTGGAAATGCTACTGGGAAGAAGTAGGAACTGTGATTCCAGTGCTTTGAGCACTGTATTTAGTTTCCATACCAAACAATTTATCTAATATACACAGCATGCTTGTTCATAGGTTACATATGATCCACCTAAAAATTCAATTTTTAGATAAGCAAGTTTATGTCAAGAGATGTTAAGGCCACGCAGCTTGCTGGCAGCAAAGGTGGAGACCAAATCCAATTTTTGTTTCAAGTTACTCAAAATTATTAAGAAATTAAACTAAATCAAAATTGGTAAATTAATGTTTCTTTAGTTGAACACACTGCATATCCACATTAAGGACAAAAAGTTGGTTATATCCTGATTAAATCTTGGCTCCAACTGTATTTCATCACCTACAGCGTTACGCCCTCTGTAGCGGGAACCACCGCCACTTCTTGTTTGCATGTGCCTGCCCTCGTTCCCTTACAATAGCAGTTCTTTGGGGTCACAGATATTTCTGAATATCTGGTATTTTTGAAGCTGGTATAAGAAATGGTCTTTAACCTCAATGAAAATAACGTGCATGCATGCTCACACATATGAGCATAGGTACAGCTTCACGTGAAATCCATGGACCCGCCCAAGCTGAGATTCCTTCTTTAAGTGTTAGTCCCTTCCTCTACTTCTGGTAGATGCACAGCACCCATGGTAATGTTTAAAATAGAAGTTAAGTCATGTCACTTGTCTACTAAAAACCCTCTTAGGACTTTTCACCTCACTTAGAAAAGAATCCAAAAGAGAGAGCACATAATCTGAACCTAGGTTACCTCCCACACCACATTTCCCACCTCCTTCCTTCAAACAATTCACTCTGGTCACATAGGCCTTCTGGCTCATATGTGCCAGGCTGAGTCAAGCGTAGGGCCCTGCTGTTACTATCCCTCTTCCTCCAGACGTCCACAAAGCTGGCTCCTTCCCTAGACCCCACAATGCCAGCTAATCACAGAAGTCCTCTGTCCTCCTCTCTCCTCTTCCCCTGGTTTGTTTTTCATCTTGGCAATTAAACCATTTTTCACATTGCGTACATGTTTATACTTTGATTCCTGTCTCCAGATACCAGATTTATCAGTTCAGTTCCCTGAGCACACAAACTGTGTTTTGTTTTCTGCTGTAATCCCGGTGACTAGTTTGCGGTTAGCACATAGTGAGCACTCATGTAGTATTTGTTGGGTGAAAGCATGGATGAGATAGAAGACTTCATGAACAAAAATAACACAAAATATACATCTAAATAAGTGTCTTCTCCCAGTCAAGTTAAATAATTTTTTAAAAAGGCATTGACATTTATTTGTCTTCAAAGCCAGTACAGAATTAGTTTACAAACCACTCAAAGAGGTTAATTGTATTACTTTATAATTTTTTCAGACTTTGTAAATATAGAATGATATTTTTGTAGATTGATAACCCATTTTATTCACCAGGTGTGTTTCTGGTTGATTTTTTTAACCCATATCTAATTGACCTTCAAAAAGGAAGATTGTATCTTGGGCCCTATGTTAAATTATGCTGTGCTTATTGGACTCTAATCAATAGTTGTCTCTGAAAATTCTTTTATATCAAAAAATATTTTTCTCTTAGAGTTCATTGGTTTGTCAGAAATCCAATATACTTTAGAAGGGAAGTCAAGAAACCTTTCCCTCTGTTACCTCTTCTACAGTGTGTGATATTAAAAGCTGGTCCAAAAGAGTCTTTAAAAAGTATAAACAAAGTGTATTATTGAGTCAAGATAAACTTCATTAAATAATACTTCACTAATTAACATATTTAATGATCACTGATGGTACCCAAAAAAAGTATTCAAACTTCTTTTATGCTGAAGTTTGCATGTAACTTCCTTGTTCACAAAAATTCAACCTGTATTGTGTTTTTGGGTTACAATGAATGTTAATCTATATCAGACACATACCCTATGTAATTAATCTCTAATTATCCATTCAACAAACTTTCATGAAGCACCACTATGTGCTAGCAGCATTACCAGTTGCTGGAGATAAAAAGTTGATACACATAGATGCATTTAGAGGGAGAGAAAATTTGAGAAAGTAGTAACTGCAGTACGATGTACAAAGTATTGTAGGAGTGGAAATCTACAAAATAGAATAGCACCCAATGGAAAAGGAGCTTAGATCTTCTAAGGAAAATGAGGAGGAGCATAGAAATTTTTGATGACAGTGATATTTTGACCTCAGTTGTAAGTGTTGCTAAAAAGGTTAATGAAAGAACAGGCCAGGAGAAGGAAACAGCTATTGAGGTAGTGGAAACACCTGGGCAGCCTCGCAGTGGATGGAGAATACAGTGTATGGATACAGTGCAAGAGTCAAGCCTCTGAGGGTAAGTACTGTCCTGTGGTATAACACTTTTTTTTTAATGTAGAAAAGTAATTTATTCCATTATAAGCACTTACACAGTTAGTGATGGAGAGTAACAGGCCTGCTGGTGAAACAGGTCACCCAAAAAAGATGATATCAAACTAGTGGTCAAGGAATAACCTCTAAAAAAAAAAAGGCAACTCTTATCCAGGATTAATTTAATTTTAAAAATAAATACAAGCTATCAATTCATTCTTCTCAACTTGACAGTCTACCTGTGGTAAAACTGTCAGGGAAAAACATACATCTTTACAACTTGGTGGTCTCAAGTTGTTTTACAAAACCATTTCACAGAAAGGAAAGAAATAATATGAAAACAGCTCAAGAAATACACTAACAAACAAAAATATATGGGGAAAGAGAAATGTGTAGTTTTGACTTAACTCAAGAAACAGAGGAGACTGGCCTACAGGGGAAAATGTGCATCCTGGAAAAGTCAGGTGTGGAGATTTTAGAGTAGCAATTTATGACTTGAATCTCCCCTAATTCCTGAATAAAACAACATCTCGCAGTACTTATACTTCATGGCTCAGACACCTATCTCACTTGGCTCTATTCCTTACGTCTAGCCTTTATTTAAATGAGTCTGAAAAACTTGGGGATATGGCATCAGAAGAAAAATAAAATAACCACATACAATAGCCCCCTTTCAGTGACTACTTTAGATATTTGTTACTAGAAAATTCCTGAACAAAATTTAAATGTAAGTCTGTGGTTTTGCTGAATCAAGTCCCCCAGTTAATATTTAGAAAACATCCTCAGTTTGGGCTAACAGCATTGTTGATGGTACCTACTGTAGAGGGATAGCTGAACAAAGTCTGGGTCTCAAAACCAGTGTTAAATCAACATCAGGGTTGAAAGGGAAAAAGGGGAGTCTAAAATCACAAGAAGTGCAGATATATTTAAGACCCCTGTCCTTCTGGATCCACACTTCCTTCAAGGTCTTCATCATTATAAATGTTCTCTGCCATTTGCCATACTTGCATGATATTGTCTTCTGACACAGAACAGATCACCCAAGGTTCACTGGGATTCCAGCAGAAATCAGATATCTTGGCAGTGTGACCGCCATGAATAAACAACAGCTCCATCTAAATGCCCCAATCAAAAGACACAGGGTAGCTGAATGGATAAGAAAACATGACCCACACATATGCTGCCTACAAGATCCCACCTCAGAGCAAGAGACCTACACAGAATGAAAGTAAAGGGATGGAAAATAATATTCCAAGCAAATGGACATGAGAAAAAGGCTGGCGTTGCCATACTTGTATCAGACAAAGTAGATTTCAAAGCAAAGGCCATAAAGAGAGACCCAGAGGGGCACTTTATCATACTTAAAGGAAGAATCTATCAAGAAGACATCAACATTGTAAACTTATATGCTCCCAATATAGGAGCCCCCAAGTATATAAGGAAATTGTTGGACAACTTCAAAAAAGATATAGACAGCAACACACTGATAGTAGGGGATTTCAACACCCCACTGTAAAAAATGGACAGATCTTCCAAACAAAACATTAATAAACATATCGTGGCGCTGAATGACACACTGAATCAAAGAGACTTAACTGACATATATAGAACCTTACATCCCAAAGAAGAAAAATACACATTCTTTTCAAATGCTCATGGCAGTTTTTCAAAGATAGACCACATGATAGGACACAAAGCAAGCCTCAGTAAATTCAGGACAATTGAAATAATACCAAACTTTTTCTCAGACCACAAGGCCTTGAAACTCGAAATCAACCTCCAAGAGAAACTTCAAAAACTTGCAAACTCATGGAGACTGAACAGTACACTATTAAACAATGAATGGGTCAATAATGAGATAAGAGAAGAAACCAAAAAATTTCTGGAAACAAATGAAAATGAACAGACAACTGTCCAAAACCTATGGGACACAGCAAAGGCGGTCCTGAGAGGGAAGTTCATAGCAATACAGGCTTACCTTAAAAAGATAGAAACATTTCAAATAAAAGACCTAACACTACAAACTTCAAGAACTGGAGAAACAACAACAAATAAATCCCAGAGCAAGTAGAAGGAAGGAAATAGTCAAGATTAGAGCAGAACTGAATGACATAGAGACAAAAAGAACAATTCAGAGGATCAACCAATCCAGAAGCTGGTTCTTTGAAAAGATTCATAAAGTTGACAAGCCTTTAAGCAGACTCATCAAGAAAAAAGGGAGAGGACCCAAATTAATAATATCAGAAATGAAAGAGGAGAAATAACAACTGATACCACAGAAATACAAATGATTATCAGAAACTATTATGAACAATTATATGCCAAGAAATTTGAAAATCTTGATGAAATGGACAAATTTTTAGAAAAGTATAATCTTCCAACACTGAAGGAGGAAGAAACAGAAAGCTTGAACAGACCGATAACAGCTGGGGAATTTGAAGCAGTAATCAAGAAACTCCCAGCACACAAAAGCCCAGGGCCAGACGGTTTCCCAGGAGAATTTTACAAAACATTTAAGGAATGGCTAACCCCTGTCCTTCTCAGACTATTCCAAAAAATCCAAGAGGAGGGAAGACTCCCAGACTCCTTCTATGAGGCCAGCATCACGTGATCCCAAAACCAGATAAAGACCCTACAAAGAAAGAAAACTACAGGCCAATTTCGCTGATGAACATAGATGCTAAAATCCTCAACCAAATATTGGCAAACCGCATCCAGCAATACATTAAGAAGATTATCCACCACAATCAAGTGGGATTCATCCCAGGGATGCAGGGATGGTTCAATACACGCAAATCAGTAAACATGATAAATCACATGATCATCTCGATAGATGCAGAAAAAGCATTTGACAAGGTACAGCACCCATTTATGATCAAAACACTCAGCAAAATGGGAATAAATGGGGCATTCCTCAACGTAATAAAGGCCATATATGAAAAACCTACAGCCAATATCATACTCAACGGGCAAAAACTGAAAGCTTTCCCACTAAGATCGGGAACACGACAAGGATGTCCGCTCTCACCGCTTCTTTTCAACATCGTATTGGAAGTCCTAGCCACAGCGGTCAGACAAGAGAAAGAGATAAAAGGCATCCAAATAGGAAAGGAGGAAGTAAAACTATCATTGTTTGCAGATGACATGATAGTGTACATAGAGAACCCTGTAGACTCTACCAAAAAACTCCTCAACCTAATAAGTGAATTTGGCAAAACAGCAGGATACAAAGTCAACATTCATAAGTCAAAGGCGTTTCTGTACACCAGCAATGCAATAGAAGAAGAAGAAATCAGGAAAAATATACCATTCAATATAGCACGAAAAAGGAGAAAGTACCTAGGGATAAATTTAACCAAAGACACAAAAGACCTGTATGCAGAAAACTATGCAACATTGAAAAAAGAAATTAAGGAAGACACAAATAAATGGAAGCATATACCGTGCACATGGATTGGAAGAATTAATATCCTTAAAATGTCCATACTACCAAAAGCAATTTATAGATTCAACGCAATCCCTATTAAGATACCAATGACGTATTTCACAGAAATAGAACAGACATTTCAAAAATTTATATGGAATCATAAACGACCTCGAATAGCCGCAGCAATTTTGAGAAAGAAACACAAAGGAGGGATCACAATACCGGACATCAAACTCTACTACAAAGCCACTATACTCAAAACAATCTGGTACTGGCACAAGAACAGACCCATAGACCAGTGGAACAGAATAGAAAGCCCAGAAATAAGCCCAGGTCTCTATGGACATCTAATATTCGACAAAGAGGGCAGAAGCATAAAATGGAGCAATAACAGCCTCTTCAACAAATGGTGTTGGGAGAGCTGGATGGCTACATGCAAAAAATTGAAATTGGATCATCAGCTGACACCATACACAAAAATAAACTCAAGATGGATAAAAGACTTAAATATAAGTCGCAACACCATCAAAGTCCTAGAGGAGAACATTGGCAGGAAACTCTCAGATATCCCACGCAGCAATTTTTTCACTGATATGTCTCCTAAAGCAAGGGACATAAAGGAAAGAATAAACAAGTGGGACCTCATCAAAATAAGAAGCTTCTGCACCGCGAAAGAAAACATCAGCAAAATGAAAAGGGAGCCAACCATTTGGGAAAATATATTTGCTAATGATCCATCAGATAGAGGTTTGATCTCCAAGATATACAAAGAACTCACTCGACTTTACTCCAAGAAGACAAACGATCCAATCAAAAAATGGGCAAAGGACCTGGGCAGATGCTTTTCCAAGGAGGAGATACAGAGGACCCAGAGGCATTTGAAAGGATGCTCTGCATCACTAGCCATCAGAGAAATGCAGATCAAAACCACCATGAGGTACCACCTCACACCGGTCAGAATGGCCATCAGAAACAGATCCACAACCAACAGGTGCTGGCGAGGCTGTGGAGAAAAGGGAACCCTAGTCCACTGTTGGTGGGAATGCAGACTGGTGCAGCCACTATGGAAAGCAGTGTGGAATTTCCTCAGAAAGCTGAAAATGGAACTGCCTTTTGATCCAGCGATTCCCCTGCTGGGACTATACCCTGAGAACACCAAAACGCCAATACAGAAGAACCTATGCACCCCAATGTTCATAGCAGCACAATTTACAATAGCCAAGTGTTGGAAGCAACCTAAATGCCCATCAGTAGATGACTGGATCAAAAATGATGGTACATATACACAAGGGAATACTACGCAGCAGAAAGAAAAAAAGAACTAAACTTCACGACAGCATGGATGGAACTGGAGAGCATCATGCTAAGCGAAATAAGCCAGGGGACGAAAGACAAATACCATATGATCTCACCTATAAGTGGAACCTAACCAACAATGCAAAGAAGCAAGGAAAATACGACCAGCAACACTGAAATGAAAAGAAATCAACAGAGACAAGAGGGAAGGCGGGGAGGGCAGGGAAAGGGAAGGGAAGGGGAGAGTCAAGGAACATATAGCAAGGACTCATGGACAAAACCAAAGGGGAAGAGCTGAGGGAGGGAAGGTGGGAGGGGGCAAGGGAAAGAGGTGGGGGGAAGGCAGAGACAAATGTATTTAAAAAGTAAATAAATTAATTTTTAAAAAAAAGAAAATTTACTGTAGATATTGAGTTAATATAGGATAATGTGCATGTTGTGTGTGAGGGCTAATTTCAAACAGATATCAGAGTTCTAAGATGTAATTTTTGTGCTATGTCAACATATTCTAAATAGAAATATATTATACTTTTTCAGTATTATGTGGACACATTATTGTGATGATGCTTTATAAAATGTACCCATGAGTGGAGTCATTATCTTTAATAGAAAATGAGAATTGCCATAATCATAAAAAAAAAAAAACCAGCTCCAGTGGCCCATCTTCTGCATCTTCTGGGGATCGTTCCTCTCCAATTTTACTCAAATCCCAGACATTCAGTCTGCGATCAGTACCACTGGAAGCCAAAATAGTCTCATTGTGAGGTGACCACTGAACCTGGAATATTTAATCCTTATGTGATTCAAAGGAATACAATTTAAGTTTCAGATTTCTCAGATCCCACAAGGCAACAGTCTTATTGGCTGATCTTGTGACAAGAATGAACTCACTATAAAGATTGAAAGAAAAGCAGTTCACTTCAGCAGTGTGAGCATCAACTGAGTGGCTTGGTTTGGAAGTATTGTTTGAATGAGTATCCCAGATCATAAGTTTCTGATTATCAGCAACTGATCCACATAGAGACTTATAAAGCAGATGCCAGGAGACATCTTCCACTACTGCTGTATCCCTGTAAAGATGGTCTTCGCATCCACAACTTTTCCTTCCTTTGGAGCAGCACTGATGTCCCATAGGCAGATGGTATGGTCATCTGAAGCACTAAGTAAGTGCCCACTGAGGTTTGGGTTCCAAGAAAGCCCATAGCCTTCCTTCTGATGTCCACAGAGACACAAGTCTGGGTTGCACTTTCCACAAGGATCTGATTTAGAAGGATGTTTTGTATAGTCAAAAACAAGAACATCACTGGATGGAGTCTTTGTTGCAATGATGCAAGGGTTCTGCAGCATATAATGTGCCCTGTTCACTTCTCCTTCATGGTTGATCTTGATTTCTATTTCAATTTTTCCACTAACAGAGCTAAAGCCTCCAAATTCTTCTTTCTCACTGCTGTAGTGTGAAACCTTGAACTGAGCATCATCATAAGGGAGCTGCACACTCACTATCCCAAGGTGGTTTTGTTCATCCGAAGTATGTGTCCCCAGGACAAGTTGATGAATGCTGAAATCTTTCCCATCTGGTCTGGTTACATCCGGAAGGCACTGTGCAGTTAAGCTGGGCCACTCCAGGCTATGGGTCATCACCAAATCATAAAGAAAAGGGGTGTTCATTTTCCATATTTTGTACTCTTCGTTGATCACACGTTCTTCTACTGCGTCATCAAAGGCTGCTACCTTGTCGGCCATGGCGGGCAGGCAAGCCAGGGATATCCCGAGGTCTATCGTTGCGGGAGGGGCGGGGAGACTACGGGCACTCACTCTCCGCCAGTACTGTCCTTATATATATAGTGTTATGGCAGTGATGAACAATCCAACTTTAGAAAATGAGTTCATGGCTATCTCAGAATTGTTTTTTAACAAGGCATTTTTGGAGAACAATGTGCATGATGTAGTACAGGAAGGCCGAGGCCGTGGTGAATTTTTAGTAGCTGACTTGTATTTCAAAACAGGAGTTTTGTTAAGGAGCTAAGCATCTGTCTCCCCAAAATCACAGAGTCTGCATGTTGTACTACCCTAGATTATGAGTTCCTAAAGGAAGAGTAGCTGGTCGTATTCACCTTTTTTTCCCCAGGACCGAGCAGAGTTCCTAGAACTGTAGGAATTCAATAAATAATTTTTTACTTGAATCAGACTGCTGTGTTGTTTTATTAATGCAGTGAGATTCCAAGCACTGTTATACAACACTGTAACACAACGATGGAGACGGGCTTAAGCCTTCCACTGGTGCCCACTGGCCCATCTTTGGTAAGAAGTGGCTATGCTGGAGCTCATGATGCAAGATAACAGCATTGGAAAAATTTAAAAGATAATATGTCAAAAGCTATTAGCACTTATTGTATATTGGTTTATTGTAAGTTCACAATACATGATAGGTAAGTTTCTCTTGTTTGCTAAATTCATTAGAAATTCATCATCAATTGAACTAATATGGGTGGAGTTGAACAGCAGCAGATGTGTAGGCAGCACTTACTACCTTAGCTGTTGAGTAAGCTGCGAGAAGGGGTACATATGACATATTCAATTATTTCCATAACTCAGCTTCCCCAAACATGGGGAAAACACTTCAGTCCATCTTGGTCTGCTTTCTCTCCTTAGCAAGACAAAGCCAGAACAAATAGTTCAATTATAGAGGTCACTTTGAGTTCCTATTTAATATATTACCTTTACTAGGTTCAGTGAGAACGATGCCTGACAGCAGTTCTCTGGAAAGGCAGCTGAGGCCATCTTTGGGGAAATGGAGTTATGAAAATAATTGAATGTGTCATGTGGTACGCCTTCCAGCAGCTTACTCAAAAGCTAAGGTAGTAAGTACTGCCCACACATTCCCTGCTAACCCTATTCAACTCTATCCAAATTAATTCAATTGATGGTGAATTTTTAATGGATTTGGCAAACAAGAGAAGCTTACCTGCCATGTATTGTGCAATGCTATAAAACCAAGATATAATATCTGCTAATAGTTTTTGACATATTGTTTTTTAATCTTCAAAATGCCTGATCATTGTAAGCACTTTTCTTCCATGTGTACTTTTGAAAGCTATCACGACCATTTTCAAAGGCTTTTAAATCTCCCAACTTCAGAACACAGTGAATATATTCTTTTGAGAACAAATGAGAAGGGATATAGAATGAAAATTCTGAGAGATTAGGCTGGGCAAGGCTACAAAGGTAATAAGAAATGAGACCAAGGATTTAAATCCCAGCTAGTCTGATTCCCAATCTCCCTAGTTCTCAAAGTTTAGTTTTTTCAAGTTTTATTGAGATACAATTGACATATAACATTGTATTAGTTTAAGGTATACAACATAATGATTTGCAAAATATATTCCAAAGCAATAACCATGATAAGTTTAGTTAACTTCCACTATCTCACTAGTTACAGTTTGTTTTTCCTTGGGATGAGAACTTTTAAGATCTACTCTCTTAGCAATTTTCAAATATACAGTACAGTGTGGTTAGCCACAGTGACCGTGCTGTACATTAATTACATCCTTAGTACTTACTGACTTTATGACTGGAAGTTTTCACCATTTGGCCACCTTTATCCACTGTCTGCACCCTCATGCCCCACCTCTGGCATCACCATCTGTTACCTTTTCTGTGGGTTTAGTTTGTGTGTGTGAATCACCTAGGGATCTTGTAAAAGTCCATATTCTGAGTTAGTAGTGCTATGTGTCTAAGGTAGCACCTGAGACTCCAGGACCACATTTTAACTGTAAGTACTAAACCACTATGTTTCTAAACCATTGCACTGGGCTGTGAGCACAGATAACTCAGTCTGGGCCAATGACAGTGACAGATATTTGACTGTAGGCTCTGAGAGTACAGGGCCAAGGTCTACCGGGACATGGGATTTTTCCCTGGCCTGACACTGTTCATTTTATTCCTTGAATTTTCAGATTTTTTTAAAAAACAAAATTCTGGTCTTTTTGAGGCATCAAACTCCTAGCCAAGAAATTATGGTCCACTTTTGATTCTTCTCCTCACCTGGAATGAAAATGTCCACATGGAAGACAAGTGGGAGAATGAAAGAAAAAGCGATCTGAGAGTCAGAGAACCATTAGAGAGCTAAGTCCCTAAACCAATGTTTACAGGATTTAACAAGGACAAAGAAGACAGCCCCACAAGTTTTTTTTTTTTCCTTGCAGTTACTGCAGAATGCCTAGCTCTTCAGTACCTCAAGGCTCTTTTCCATCACTTTTCTAGGATTTTCTTTCCCCAAATCACCTGGCAAATTTCTTCCCATCTTTCAGTTTTGTGATCAAATGTCACCCCCACCAGAAGTGACCATCTTACGTAAAAGAGATCTCAAAGCTTTATTTCGCCCCCAAACTATCCCATAATATTCGTAAGTGCAGGAACTCTCTCCTTCCTTATTCACCAGTTTCAGTCACCCTCAGTCATCTGTGAAATGCATGACTCATGGAACAGAGTTCACAAACATTTGTTAGATACATAAATGAAAGCCGAGCAGGATGAGACTAAGGAAGCACCAGTGTTTTTGATAATTAGTAAATTGTTAGCACAAACGCATTGAAAAGATTTAAAAAGATATGTCAACGCAAGATAAGAGTGTGTTCAGTAAGGTGGTGGAAGTGAAAGGCTACTTTAATGGAAATTAATTTAATTTACATGCTTTTTCAGAAGATTGGCCGTGACAGGAAAGTAATTATGAGGAAAGAACCAGGAAGCAGGGCAGTAGGAGGATTACTTTTAGAAGCTTGCACATTTAAATGTTTCTCTGAAGAAAAGAGAAATGGTCCACAGCATGTGAGAAGCTAAAAATGCATCAGACAAAAGAGTTAAAACTGCCAAATAAATAACAAAACTGAATTTCAATTATTTAAGTAAAAACCCAAGCAAATGATGCAAGGAGACTCCCAATCACAGAGAGAAAATGCTGATTCACATACTGAAAAAAATGAAAAATTATAACAGGTAGTCATTTAAAGGCTTTGAAGCACCTAAATTATTTACTAAACCTATAATATTACCAAACTATAATTCACATTTTCTTTTTGTTGTTGTCATCCTTGAATTTTTTTTTCTTTTCTTTTTATTTTTTTAAGTCTCAAGGGTTATCGCCCCAGAATCAGGGTAAGATGTAGCTGCATGCTTGCAAGAGGTTCTTGAAAAAGAGACACTGGGTCACTGTGTCTTTAATGCCTACTTCTATACCAGCCTGATGGCAAATGGTATGACAACCACAATGTGTCTTCAGGAAGGAGGGTAGCACCTGTGCTGATGACTGTCCCTCTGCATAAGCTTTTGAGAGCCACTGCAACCATTCTTGAAGGCTCTTGAATCACATGATTTCCTAGCAAAGCGAATATATTATTCTGTGGGAAAAAAAAGAAAAAGCAATTCAGTTTGACTCAAGTTTGAACAGAATAAAACATTTTTTTAAAGAAAATATTTCAAAAATACATTCCAGTCTGTAATTCAATTTCTAGCCATTATATATATTTTTTTTCTTCATTACATCATTGATTGTTTAAGATGTTCATACTGCCAAATTCCATAAGGATTTAAAGTGGCTTCTGGATTAAAATAAATTTTGAAAAATTTTAAAAATAAAGCAGAACAGATTTTATCTTGAGATAACAAATCATTTTTAAAAATATATAGATAGCAGTTTTGAATTACTCATTTATAATTAAATGTGCTATGTTTCTCCCTCCACATGGTGGGCACCTTGGAAAAAAGATTATATTCTCCGACTATACACTGTAGCCCCACAAATGGTAGATTCTGCAATATATTTATTGTAAAATTTTTTAAAATCAAGGTTGAAGAATGTAAAATTAATGTGTTCAGTTGTCAAGAGACCACATCAATAATAATTATAGCTAAGCTTTATGGAATGGAGCCCTAAGGCAAAGTTCTAAGTGACTTACATGTATCGACTCATTTAATCCTTGTAACAATAGTAAGGTATACTGTTTTGATCCCCATTGTAATAGAGGAGAAAACTGAGATGTAAAACAGGTAAATAACTTCAACTTTACACGTCTAATAAGTAGAGAAATTCAAACCAAGTGCTCAGGCTCCAGAGCCCACATGGCTCTCCACCTGTGCAGACATGTGATCTACATGGAACTGGCCCTCTACAGGCAAACACATGTTTTCAATCCTCCTCACAGCTCTGTGAGATCTGTGGTATTATCCATTTTATGGTGAATAACTTGGGACTCAGAGCTGGGTTTCGTGCAATCCGTGAGCTCAGACAATTTACTTAATCCCTCTAAGGCTCAACTTTCTCATTTGTAAAAAGGGTTAACATCAAGTGCCTCTTAGTTTTGGAGGACAATTAAAACATATATCTAAAATGTTTGGAAAGTAATAGATTCTGCATAAATGACCTTTCATTGAGAGTGTTACCCAATTCTGTCCCCCAAAAAATGTCTTCCTCAAGGACCTGGAAGCCATTCCTTTGACATATAATCATCGAGAAAGACAAGGGCCCCATCTCCTCGTCTCTATGGGAGGGTAAGATCCTAACCTCCACAAGTACCAATTAGCAAACAGATGACCCAATCCCATTAAGCAATATTACTAATAAAGTTGCTAGTATTTTTCTACTAACACTCCATGGCTTTAAAAAGTCTTTTACCTTTTGTTCCAATGGAGTTGTGTTCAATCTGCCTCTTCTGTTGCAAAAGTCTTGAACTAAGTCTTCCTTGCCTGTTTAAAAATCAATTAATCAAAGTTTTTTTCATAATGAAATAATTAACATTGGAAAAAAA